GGCCTTGGGAACCCTGACCCTCGCCGCCTGCAGTCTTTCCAGGCCGCGCTGCAGACGCAGTGGAGCTGGATGCTGCAGCTGTGCTGCTGCATCGAGGCGCACCTGAAGGAGAACACCGCCTACTTCCAGGTGAGCGCCGACCCGGCCCGCAGCCCCTGCAGCCCCAACCCTGCCACCCTGGTCCCTGCTGGGCACGTTGGGGGCTCCGGCCGGCCCTGGCACTGGACACGCCCCCTTGCCCCCAGTTCTTCTCAGACGTGCAGGAGGCGGAGCAGCAGCTGCAGAAGCTGCAGGAGACGCTGCGCCGGAAGTACACCTGCGACCGCACCGTCACCGTCACCCGCCTGGAGGACCTGCTGCAGGATGCCCAGGTGAGCCGCTGCCTCGGCCTTCTTGGGGAGCCAGCATGGCCGGGCGGGGTGTGGGAAGGCCGGCTGGACGCAGCGGTGGCCAGACTGCTTGGGAGGTGTGGGCTGGCGCGGTGCGGGCGAGGGCACTGGGTCGGCAGAGGTCCCTGGGGCCCCAGGCTGAGCGGGCTGCTCAGGTGCCAGCGGGGGACCTGATGTCTGGGGCAGGCTGTACCCTGAGGGCTGAGGTGGCCGCTGGGGGCCAGGCCTGCATGCCTCGGTGGGGGCAGCGCTGGGCTGCCCAGGAGCTGCAGCCCTCCCTGGGAGCGCTGGCCAGAGGCTCCTGCAGTCAGGGTCAGTGAAGCCTGGGGCAGCCTGGGGGCATGAGATCAGGTGACTGTAACCTCAGCCGTGGACAGTGGGACCCTGGGAGGGGCAGGGTGGGTGGCAGGGCAGCGACCTCCACCAGAGGACATGGGGAGAGTGTCAGGGGCCAGGACGGGGGCGAGGAGTGACCCGCGGCAGCCTGCCTGGCCCCGCTGCGCCTGGGGCGTGCAGCAGGTGGGAGCCTGGGCAGGGCTGTGCGCTCCCTCAGGCCACTCCTCCCCGCAGGAGGAGAAGGAGCAGCTGAACGAGTACAAGGGCCACCTGTCGGGCCTGGCCAAGAGGGCCAGAGCCATCGTGCAGCTGAAGCCCCGCAGCCCAGCACACGCACCGCGGGGCCGCGTGCCGCTGCAGGCTGTGTGTGACTACAAGCAGGTGGAGGTGAGCCGGCTGGCGGGCGGCGGGTGGCGGGCGGCGGGC